ATAAACTAAAATCCTAATCTAATTAGAAATCATATTTTAATCAATAAATAAAAGAAATCCTATTCAAAACAAAAAATAAGAATAAAAAGATAAAACCTATCATAACTAGAAAAGATTAACATAATTGAAAGATAAACACAACTAAAAAAAGGTATGCTACACTTGTAGTAGGGAACTACTAATTGTGATTGCGTACTACATCAAAAACACTTCCTACCACCACCAAAATTTCCATCAATTACCTTTTCTTGGCCACTAGTCCAATAAACATTAATTAGGACGTGCAATTGTTCTGATAAGACTAAGCCACCAACTCTCTTCCTTCCACTACTGGCTAAAAACTCCAATAAGACCTAATCACCACCGTCAATTTTAAGGATCACTGGTCACATCTTAATTTGGCAACCAACTTACTAGTGCATTTAGATGAAGACACAATCTCGCAATGACAAGTGATGATCGGATGTAAAGTGAGGGTCAAAATGGAAAAGAAAAGGAAAATCGCAATCCTTGTACCTTGTCAACTAATTTCTCCAAAAAGAAAATGAAATCATGAATACGAATGATAAAACAAGTTCTCTTTCATCTAACCTCCAGCCAAAGTATATGTGGCTCGAATTACATAAAATCTGTTAGCAGGTGAGAAAGCATGGGAGAAAGAGAGGAAAAGAACTAGAACTCACTCCTTGAATTTCTCAGATATCAAATTTTCAGATTAACCATCTCAAGAAAGCCTCAAAACACTGCACAAACCCTAATCATCCGAACTCTATTAATTTAGTCACATTCCAGAAACTCGTCAAATATTAAAAATGCAAAACTCAGTTTGTGGTTCCTATCATGAACATCATTACCTAAGATAGTGTGCGTATAGGAAAATAACTGCAATTTGCGTTAGCCAAAGGAACATTCAAAAAATGGGTAACCGACAACCTTCCAAAGAATAAATATAATAAGTTATGCCATGTGCCTTACCTGACGAAGAGTGCGAGCTACTAATGCTTCTATCACAGAACCTCTATCATCATTCAACAGATGCACTTCATCAATGATTAGGAGCTTCACTAGCATTGAGAGTGACATATCGCTGCTTTTCCGAGTGATCACATCCCACTTTTCAGGTGTTGTCACTATCATCTAAATTACATGAAAACAATTTAGAAGAAAAATTAAGGGTCTCCTCTAACCATGAAATTCATCAAGCAAAGAAGATAGCTTACCACCTATAAAATACACATAAATTAAAAAATCACATGAACAATAGATGACCTGAGTTTCTTCGAGTTCATTTTTTGAGAGTTGCATATCTCCGGTAAGTTCTCTCACAGTTACATTCAGAGGAGATAATCGATTACTGAAGGTTGACGTCACCTCTGCAGCTAATGCCTAGACAAGACATGTCCAAATATTACGGATTAATTGAGAAAGATCATGAGTAATCCAATGATAAATTCTACCTTCATAGGAGCAACATAAACTATCTTGAATTCATTTTTATGCAGATAACCATCTCTGAAGTGTTGTCCAATCTGTCAAATGAATCAAATGCATTTCATATCAAAATTCTATCATAACTGAATTCTAGTACTACAACTTCACAATCCAAATTTAAACATTCTTAATGAAACAAAAGCAGAGTAGCAAGGTAGAAATTTATCGTTCAAGTATCAGATGATAGTCTTTACAAGAATGAATCACAGAATCCTAAAATCAGTGACGTTTCCGAAGGAATGAAGATCTTTGATAAGTTTCAAATCATGAAATTCGAAACAAGAACAGAACACTCAGTCCCATTGAATGCGCTAATATGAGTAATAATTCTCTCCCCTCTATTCCTTTCAAAAGAAAACCAATAGTATGTACTTAGAAGATGAATTTAGACAAAACTTCAAAGCAGGTTGAAGAACAAAGATAATTACCAATAAGGCTATGTTTTGTTTTAGCCCCATTTTTCCATTAAGATGAATTCTTGAGTAGTAATTTGACATCATTTCAACCACACATTCTTCAATAAAATAATATTACACGCAAACCCAAATATTTTCCTTAAATTATTAACCACACATTTTCCAAAATAACACTATTAAAAATGCATTTTTTGAAAAAAAAAAAATGGGACTCAAACAAGCGCTTAATCATTTTGACCCTTTAATGAAAACATTAAATTTCGAAATTTGGTGAGAAGTTGTAATGTGCAATAGAATTGTGGTGATTTTGTGACTCCCTAATCTGCAAAGGACGTGCGGACGCTCGTAATTAAAATTTTGGGGATTCAGTAGGAGAAATGTTGCTAGAGGATTGGGGATATGTGCCGTCTTGGCTTTAACTTGGTGTATATGGAACGAGTGTACTGCCATATCTTTTGAGGACCAATATATATCTTCACATTTACTGTGGGATAAATTTGGTTTTTTAATATCTTTGTGGAGGGTATATCTTAATGGAGCAAGGCTCAGGGAACCTTTTTCAGTGTCCTCTCAGATTTTTAACTCAATTGGAAACTAATTCTGGCTAAAAGTCATATTTTCTTCATGTTCTATTGCTGAGGACATGATGTTCTATGGATTTTGTACTCTCATTTATATATGTCTGTGTCTGTGAGATGTTAACTGAAACAATGGGAACTGAATAATTATCATGTGAATAGTCACAAAGTTCATTAACATTTAAGTAATATTTAATCAGTTCTTATGATTGATAGTTCAAATGCTCATAATGAAATCGGGGACTGAAAGACTTATTACATAATATAATCGCTTGATTTTCAGTGGGTAAAAGGCAAAATCAATATCCAATTAGCATAATGACATAATACAGTGATGAAACTTGACACACCACATACTCTCCCTTTACCATGTGAGAACAATGACCATGGCATGAACTTCCCCAGACAAATCGCATCATATTTATGTTGACCTATGG